TATCGACACACTCGGAACGGTTTACGCGGCTGGGCCGGGGGTGTGTGTGGCGGCGACCAGCGGGGGAACTCGTTGAACCGATATTAATTATGTTTGTGTCATAAATTCACGTAGATATAGGTATGATGTGTAGTATTACCTATTATAATGTTATGTGCCCGGCGAGAGGAATGCGTGCCTCGGCGTGATAATTCGACAGGGGGAAACGCGTATGAATACTCTGACGACGACTTCCTACATTATAACGACAATAATGAGTAATGTAATATCGTTATGCACTATATCGAAATCGACGAGACGGTGGAGTGATCGTCTATGCGCCCGACGGTGCCGAGAGATCAAAAATCCAAACATTCATTGCAGTGGCATCAGCTGTTTGCACTCAGACGCATACGGTTATTGCAGGGTGCAATTTATTTACAGTAGTTGTAGTTTATTGTAATGGGTAATCAATAATGTACCAATAATTTTATCGACTGTGCTACTACATAACCAAAACCAGTTTCGGCGTTTGCTCGTGATCGATTGGACCTCTTGCACAATAGTTTGCAACGCTCCCCGCTTATATCAAAATATCGTCGAGTTTGGCCCCCCGACGTTAATGAAAAACGCTCGTACCTCCCGGTTAACCACCTCCCATAGTCGGCTGCCAATAAAACCTAAAAAGTGTTTTCTGATATTCTGTTTATTTTTCTCATGCATACCTGTACCGGTTTGGCGGTAACACGTGTTACAAAATGTCTATGCATTTTTGAATCGAAATGTCAATACACTATGAAATCGAAATGTCTATGCACTTTGGAATCGAAATGTCAACAGCGTATATTCGCGGTTTATCGGCAATCGATTGCGCTCGGCTTCGTCATTTTTTCGATTTGTTATATTTTCTTAATCGGCCTCACACCATGCGTTCTATTACTATACCGCACACGACTATTTTTTTTTACTCTGTAGTTTCAGACCGTAAAAACGATTTGCGCTCGAGGCGTTCGCTCCTTGTTTTCGATTATGAAACAAACGCGTGTTTGTGTGTGTGTGTGTGTGTAGGTTTGGGCTGCTTAAGTATACGCATTCGCGGACTAAAACACAACAACGACCACCCGAACGAATGCTAGGTAATAATATTTTAATCTGATATCATCGTATAGTAGGTATACTTACGTCTTACACATAATACTATGCTATGATCAGGGAGCCGTGGTTAGAATTATTCCCCCTCCCCCAACCACACAATTTTGATGTAAACCTAAGTATTACACTTATTTCATTCAAGATTCAAATACGACTGATCAACACTTCCTAAAAAACTTTTTTACAACCAATAAAATTTTATTATACAAAAAATAAACCAACTGATTTACAACATTTAACATTCGGTAAATAATGTAAATTATAATAATAACGATTAAAACGCGCTTAGTAGGTAGGTAGTTTTTAAATTTTTTTTAGTACTAGCAGAATCGTTTTAATATTTTCCCTGTGAATTAATGAAGACTGTACAACATTAATAATATTTGTTTTTATTTTTGATTGTGCATTAATTAATATTATTTTATTCACTAAAATAGATATTTAGTCATTTTTACCACAGTTCTAGACATAATAATATTTTACTATCGCTCATCATAATACAATAGTACATATTACTATAGTTCATGACGGGAATGGAGTTTGCAAAGAACACCGTATTTTTGTTTTTCTTTTCGCGATTATTATAATATTATAGATGTTATTTGTATCAATTGTTTTTACTTTTTCAACGAGGAAGTCATTAAGCGCCACAAGCGGCGCTGTTCGATCACTTTGATGTTTTATTTTATTATTTATTCTGTTTGGCAACAGCAATATTTGTAACGTTTTTTTTTTTTTACTGTTCTCTCGGTATTTTAATTTTTCTACACATTGGCTGCGTTTCAAAATATTAATAGTTTTTAATGTATATATAATACGGTATTATTATATATTATAGAATTAGCGTCGGAGGATACTCGCGAATAATTTATTGGAATTTAAATAGAATTAAACCGGCATAGAAATACGTATACAACCCGAATGTATTTTTTATTGCCTTATTTGACGTATACCTATGCAGCAAAGATTATTATGGTCTTACTTATAACAACATCAAAACGTTTCGATGAAAAAACATCGTTTCAAGGCGGCATTACATAAGTATACTCACGGACTTCTATATTGTATATGAACAGGAGGTAGGTACTATCTTACCATGGAGGAAAAAAACGTTAATTTACCTCCAATAAACAAGCATATAATCGTTTAGTTGGGATGAGAAGACGCGGGAGTTCGATAAATTATTATTTACTTTGAATACGAATAGTTTATGTGAAATCTCCATTTTTCTGAAATGAATCGTTTTAAAAGTTTGTCCCAATATTCCGTATAAACTATATGGACATGTAGTAATTAGTATATCCGCAAATATTTATATCGATTTAGACGTAATAGCACATTGTTGACGTAAACGACTGAAGTTATTCCGTTTTTACTGATGATAAAAAATGACGTATGTATCACGATCACGCCTGCAGTGTGAACGATTTTACAAACTTATATATTTTACATTTTAATTTTTGAACGCATTTTTTGGAGTATCGCACAGTTAAGTGAACAAATTTGGTGAGAAAATTAAAAATATTTCTCTTAAGAAAATTACTTCATCCACTGTAATAGTCGATATAACGGACTAGTAGTTATTAAATTACGTATAGGCTTCTTAAAATATAAAACATTTTATAGTTACCGATTTTCTAGATCTGTTACCTATAGGTTATAGTTAATAGTTGTTAAAAATTATATGGTTCGTATTTTGGAGACTTTATTACTATAATAATAGTAACTACATTATATCATAATAAATAAGTAGTTACTGCATTTGTGACGACTAGTTTGGTGGAGAGTCACTAACATGTCACGTCATCCACCGTGTGCGAGATTCGGACGATTATAGTATTGTTGGATAGTCGAAAAAAAAGTCAAATTAATTCTCAATAAATTGTGGGAAAACAAAACCCAATACAATAATAATAAAAATTATGCTAAACACTGGCGCCGACTGGGCCGAAAAAAGCACTTGACGGACAGTGTGGAATGGGTGCCGAGGTGTCCGTCGGAGAACATAATAATATATAATATTATATTGTACCTGAGACCGCCGTGGGAAGTCTCTGCCGCCGAAAAACGAAACTCAAACGATAAATCAGGTGGTTTTTTTCTCTCAGATTTTTTGTTTCTTTTCGCCATATGTCCCCCGCGAGACGTTGTATACGTATTATTCGATTGTTCGAACGGCGTTAGCTTTACACACACACACACACACACACACACACACACACACACACACACACACACACACACACACACGTGTGCCGTTTACGAGTACAATATTATTATAGTCTGATGTGAGTGTGTGTGTATAATATAATAACACAATGCGCGTATTGTGTTAATATAATATAAATATATATATACTTATGTATTACGCCCATAATAATAATATAATACGTACGACAACCGTTTGCGCGAGTAAAAAATATTTCAAATCCCACACGCGTTTATCCTATTCGCGCCGGTATGTGTATATTATAATATGTAAAAAACCTAAAACGGCCTCGAGCTTTCGGCTATCGAATATTTTAATCGATTTCTACGACGACGGCGTCCATTATAAATAACAACGTGCGTACCTGTATAGTTGTCTGCAGTATATTTATTTTTCATGCCTAATTCGATAAAATAATAATAATAGTATGCCTATAATATACATTACCGCTGACTATACATTACCGCCGACTAACCTGCCGACTTCTATTAAGTATCAATATCTAAATGTCGAAAATCGATAAGAGCCTGCTACAGTCGAAAACGGTTTTTTAATTTACCTTTCAGCCGTTTAGTACCTACCTACCAAATAAAAACAATAAGAAATCGTATTGCGACAATCCGAGTACTTACGTTATCTTATACTAATATAATATATCTACAATACGTCCTATTATAATATTTGTTATCTAAACATGGTAGGTTGTGATGTACCTATACCGAACGCAGAATTATTCACCTCGCGAACAAATTTCATTAAAACATTTTGTATATAATTATATATGTATACAACATATTGTGTATTAATTATTTTATAAGGTAGTAAACCCGTTTGCACGGGCATTAAGTGACATGTGATTTTAATAAATCAAGCGACGTATTATTTATATTTTTTAATATTTTCACTTTTACATAAATTGTATGATGATTTATTAAAATTGTTTGCGTATAAAGTGAGTTATGAAATAGCAACCGGTTTCTATTCTATATTTTTGTCACGCGGTAATAAGCATGCGCGTTGTGGTGATTTTGTTAGTTTCTCGCACCTATATATTTTTTAGTCTGTACTTATTCGTGGAACAAGTCTCCGCAGGCCATTGCGATCGTATTGTAATAAATTATAATATATATGTAGATAATGCAAGCATTACGATGCGATATACTATATTGTGCAGAATAATAGTAATAATTAAAATATAACGATAATTAACTATGAAATTCTGCTCCTGCGATGTAAATATGTGCTAGTACCAATGGATTTCTTGTGTACATCGAATATAATAAAATACGTTGTCTAAGGTTTAAGGAATAAGAAATCTAGAAATCTCATCACCCGTGTTCGCCTAAAGTCTAAGCGCATGCCAAATGAATTCACATCAAGTCGTTTATGGTGCATGTTTTGCCTAAACGAAACGCCGGCGAAATTGTTGGCGCCGTCAACACGGAACTGTACGTCTGTATAGAACGAATTTCGATCCTTTTCGCGCTGGCATTTATTTAAAAATTAACAACTTTTACAATAATACAATACGCTATCGATAATAATATTTGTTATTTATTTAATGTGGTTATAGTAATGGATATAATAGTATAACATTATGTTCATTACAATGCCCTATCAAATATCGACGTTTTATTAATTGTATTTTTTTTCGTTTCAGGTTAACAAAAATAATCCAGAGTGCTTTCGTTCTATTAATGGTGAGTAGTGGTGCACGTTTTTTTTTTATCGTAGACCATTATATATAGGCCTATAATTATATTATAATTTATAATCTTTTGGACGCGATATAACAATATATTATAGTCAAAATTCAATTAGAAAACTGATTATAATTTACAGGTACCTATTTGACGGTAGTCAGGTATAGGGCTGTTTAATGTACATAATATTAGTAAATATTCTGAACTATAGAATTGTTCAATATGCACTCGCTTACATGCATTACAATTTTGTAGAAATATGCATTAAGAACCCAAACATTTGTAAGAGCACATGTTTCGCAAATTAAAAAAAAACAAAATATTAATTAATTGTTAGTAAATCTTTATCGAGATTCGTGATTACAATTATTATTATTCATATAAATTTTTAATTATTGCTGTGTGTAAATTAAGAAAAAAACAGTACGTAATATTTGAACTGATATTCCAATTCAACGAAAAGTGCAACGACAACGATGATATAGGCAATAATAATTTATCTAAGAAAAAAAAATCAAATACTCTCTATTAGAATATTTAAAACCAACATTCACTGAAAAAAAACACCAGTTGGGGGTTATCATTGATTGCCAATCACGATTGCCAGATTGTCAAGCAATAAAACAATCATACATTATTAAATGATAAAAAATAATAATGTTGCAAAATATTCATAAAATGTTGGGTATCTTGAAGAATGAAACGCGCGTTTGTTCGTATAATATTATTTTGCTCTAACTGCCGTCAAGACTTATTAAAAATCTACGAAAAATTATTCATTGCATATTTCCATTCAAGCATAGTATAACAATAATAACAACAACATTGTTTATGAAGGACCGTCTACAGCAGTAATATTATATGTACGACGTGTACCAATATAGACGTCACGTACACAATATTGCATATGTTCGATATCATCGTTTATGATAATGGGCACGGGACTTGGGAACACGACAGAACGATTTACATATACGTGTAGGTATACGGCGAGGAAATAATATTAAAGCCACGACGACATATTATTATTACGTACACGTATTGCGCTGCAGTCTCCGCGTTCTCAATTGATGGACATTGCCGTGGTAACGTCGATTAACGTAAATTAGTATCGATTGATTTAATAATTTTAACTGCGGGCAAATGTTAAACGATGGGCAGCAGTGTATCGACCGTACGTTTTCGCCGACCAGATATTAATGCATTATTATAATTATTAAAGCACCTGATGCCGACTGCGACCAACCGAACTCTGATTGTGATATTCTTAGTTCGTATACGTACAACGTATATACATCACCTCTGATCTCGCCTATCTACAATTGTATAAAAATAGTGTTCAGGGATAAAAATATAAAATGTCTACGAGGCTATTTCTAAAATTCGTACGTTCCTGTTTTCCTTGATACCTCTAAAATATATATATTATATATACATACCGGGGTTGGGTCGGGGTATTGTACAACAATGTATAAGCGATGATAATATTATTCGTATAACGTACCTACTGTGATAGTCAACCTGTTGTGCATATGTACAGCCGTGTATATACACGATGTGTCGATGTATTATGTTACGGGCGCCAGCCGACTTCTCGAATTTAATTTATCAATAATGTGCGTATGTTTTCTGGTTTCTAAAATATATTATCGACATTTGAAATACGACACCCATTAGCAGTTAGATATTTTTTTTTTTTTATCAAGCTTGGCAATAAAAATAGCCGACAACACCTACAATGATATTATATATATATACCTGCTACGAAGTCTATGCAAATGACCGACACGCATCTATTATGTTATTATATTTTATCGGTTAAAATAATTAAAACGAACCGGACATATAATATATATCACAATAAATAGCGACTGTCGTAGTCCAATAATAATTAAATGTTTGTTTACCGATCGGGAATATTCTCGAAGAAGTACTTTCCGCGTGTATACACAGTCGTAAAAACAAACATAAATCGTTATTAATGGTGCCGGGCGTTAAATTATTTTTTTTTTTCTAAAACTGTTATCGTACGGTTTGGATGACTCGAAAACCGTTTTTATTATGGACTAGGCCGAAACGAATTCAACGCGTGTAGGTATATAAGGATTCGTTCAAAAACCAGTTTAATATCGGTGCCGATTGGTCGAGTTCACACTTTTGATCATATTTATACCATTATTAGTGCCACTAGTTAAAGTACCATGTAGTTTTATGTAGTTTTTTTTCTCCATTTTCGGAACCTATAATCTTTTCTAAATTAAACGAACATGAAGAATTTCAAGTGTATCGTGTAGTGTAAGTTTACACACTATATAGTATAATATATTACTATTAAGTATCGGACAAGCGTTTAGACATATTTTCTAGTGCTCGAAAACGTCTGATGATTCCGAAAAAAAAAACATTTTTACGACATAACGTCATACATTATACGCACTCTACAGGACGTCATCGTTGATATCGGTCTATGCACATAATATAGTAAAAAGAATCGTATTCGGTTGCGCGTACAATATCGATAAAAAATATTATAGTATAAATAATATAGTGACGTGGCGGCGATCGATAATAATTTACGTTAATACCTCCGGTCGCTTAAGACGGGCGCACATTGTTTATCCACATCACGATATAATAATGATAATATATATATAGGTAAATAATAAAATTATGTAAATAATCGTAAAAAGCGGAGTTTCGGAGAAGTGAAAAGACGTAAGGTGCAACTAACACGATATATAAGCACGATATGATGTATGTACACTTAAACGGCTGGTAACCCGATGGGTAATATATTGTACGAGATAATTTTTCCGCCGTGTGAATTTTTTATACGCGTCCACCGAAAAGTCGGACGCACGTGCGTCCAGTTTTGCGCCCCGCCGACGTCGTCGTAAAAGTAAATAGATAATAATAAATGTGTACGGAAAGAAGAAGTAAAAAAAAAAACCAAAACCAAAACCCGACGGTGACGGGAACTCATTATTGGGTAATAAATGCGAACAGTATTGGGACAGGCCGGGTTTGGGTGTTGCAGACCGCCCTCGCAACAGCAGCCGCCGCGCTTTATAGGTGTGAGAACGGCGAGGACTCGGCGAGAAAAAAAGAAATCCCATCTTGGAAGCCGCCCGACGCTGTTTTTTTTCCCGGCGCAACAAGCAATCAATAAACACTCGTTTTATTTAGGTATTTATTATTTATTTATTTTTTTTTTTTTTAATACCACCTCTATGTACGCATAACCCGGTAATATTAAATACGCGTAGATGGTCTCTCGCGTTAATGGTCCTATATATAGGCAGAGGGTGGCCTCCGGGCGATCAGAACTCGCGTTTTTACGATATAGTTACCTATGCATATATAGGTATATGTACACTGTTGAACCGGAGCGGCGTCGTACTTCATTATTATTTTATAATAATATATATATTGTAATTTATCATTATTGCGCGGTGGTCGTCTACTCGCATGTGGTACCTCATGTGTATAATATACGACGGGCGGTTTCGCGCCATCACACGTATCTTGTGTCGGACAAAGATGAGCTGTCCGTCGTTTTCAATATATTATTTTCATCACTCACGCATAATATGGTGTACGGCAGTAAAAAATAAACAGCAGAGTCGCTGCTCGGTTTTACCTAACCCTCTGATATTCGAAAGTCGTCGTCACCTGGGCCCGGTGCGCTTTAAAAGGCCCCCAAAAATCGAATTCGATATTATTATAAACATTATAAATATTATTCCTGACCGGTCTCGTGTTCTTGTTCCACGAAAAACTTCCGGATCGTGGAAAACCCCACTTACAGGTGAAAAGTTATCTCTGCCGAGAAAATCGAAATTCACGTTTGGCGTGGGTCGTGTTCCTCAATAACTATTTACATGACTAGGAGTTTCGGTCCTTGAAATGCTATAGAGTCAAATGAAACACAGTCTCGATAATTTATTCAAACTTTCGATACTTCGAAACTTTCGGTAGTTCGAAGTAACTACGGGATTTCCTTGAAAATCTCGCAGTAGTTCGTCATAACATTTTAGGAAAAACTGGCCGTTAACACTCGACAAAATTCACTCAATTCTATTTTTTATAATCTTATCGTTTATAATTTAGCTTACAAATTAATGTGTATACATTTATCTTATAATTTTTGATGAATATTGTAGGTACGACATTATTTTTTTCATAACTCAGTAATTTGAATTATTTTTTTGCCATCTTGATATTTGGAACCACTCAGCAGTTTGAACTCTCGGTAATTCAAAATTGTTCATAAGTCCCACCAGTTTGAATCATCGAGAGTCTGGTATATCCTCACGGACCGAGATATTTTTTACGTATACTTATTACTTACTGTCCCCAAAAATCTTAAATCAGGCTCCTTAGTCCTAGATATCGGTAGGCACGTATAATACAATAATAGTATAATATATTATCTTCCCGATTACCATCATCGGTTTATAACAAATGTATTAATGTTGTTGTGGTTCAAACCACGTGTGGCTGGCTGTCGGTTGTATTTTTGATAATAAACGTAATTGTTATTAGAATCGACGCCTAAAATATTCAATCAGTTCTTTATAGGTGGCCTTAGGAAAATCGACGTTCATCATTGTACCCGATAAAATAATATCAAATAACAATCGATAATAATAATTTCTATACATAATTTATTATGTCAATCAATTTCGAATAGCGTTTATATAGTATGCGTGCTATTACAATTGATTAAATATTATGTCGTTTAAAACAACAATACCGTATACTACGTTATATCAAATTAAAATACTCAAATCCAATTAGAAAAAACCTTCACGTGCGCCTTCAACTCAATATTCGTTCAATTACTATACAATTACTACTGATTATGTATCAATTACTATATATATATATATATACACCTATGCATAATATATACATATTTATAAGTTTATATTGCGTGTGCTTACATATATTAAAAATTATGTAATTTAAAAGTATAATATATATTATTCATTACGCTAGCACATATTTACTTGCATGTACCTATATGTATAATACAATAATTATTTGGAATTTTGTGGTTAAATATTCAATAACGTGATTTTGAATATGGTCTGCAAGTTTTTTTAAAACATGAAAGTATTTAATTAATGTGAAAATATAGTTTTCTTTGTTTAATAATGTTTATAAGTCAAAATTAGCATTTTGGAAATCGGTGTAACGTAGGATCCGGTCCCCTCCCCCCCAAAAATCCACCATTGCTGTTTTGTATAATATTCACCTATTAGAAGTGAATCCGGACCAGGAGATCGACGATACCGGAAACTATAATTTTACTACTCAGAAAGGTCAGATGTTAATTTTTTTTTATATACATATCTGACATAATATATATTTGGGAAAAAAAAACAAAATGAGTTTCTTCCATTTGACTATCATGTACATATGATATACGACTTAGAACGCGGTTTCACGAGAGAAATGTTTTTCGAACGAATATAATCAATTATAATATAGTAAGTCGGATTTAGATATGCACACCTATTTCTTCCATACCGACTGTGCATAATTATGTTTACGACTGCAACGTGCATTGTCTCGATACCACACTGCATCTATACACGCCCATATATAATATATAATATGTATATATATATATTATTATTATATATTGTTATTATAATCCCAGGTGTGTTTTATAGTCGAAGATTATCATCGTCATTATCTCTATATACCTATAATATATGGTATTTTAGAATTTTCGATCAACGAAACGACGTTATATTATGACGCCATGTATATGTCACCACATCAAACGGATAACGCAACAATATAATATTGTTATGTGGAATGGACGTGAAATGTCTATCCGATTGCAATTTATTATTATTATGATTAAAATGTATTTCACAATTCTAAAGTACTTTGCATGCACTGAACCAACTCAATCTCCACTACAGTGGCAAATCCATGTACGCCGCCAACTTGCATAACAAATCATAAATAAGTGCCTGATATAATAACCAGCACATTCTTGGTTTCCGTCTTAAAGACATTGTCGCGTTGTCTTTAAATGAGAAATAAGAAAAAGCTCAAATAATAAATATTTTTTGCACGTAAAAAATGGACTGCAGAGTCGATGATAATATTGTTATTTCGAAATTGGCCCTTGCGGGTGATGTAATCATGTTCGACGGTGTTTAAATTGAACCACGTAATATATAATTTGTATTAGCTGTACTGTACTGCAACTTATATACTGCAGATCTCTGAGAACGGTGTCATACAAGAATATTGTTCATAACAATAATTTTTTCGTCAAGTACATGCGAAATCAAGACGTGCGCACGATTCCAGGATTATTTTCAAAAACTTTTCCTCTCCTCGTGTTATGGACACCGCACTGTGTATTGTCTCTATAAAATATTATCTTAATATCATGAGATACACCTTTAACAATAGTGGATCAGCGTCGGAAAATAATAATATCGTTTTTCTAGCCGTTTGGAGATTTAAACACTACAAACGCGAATAAACAGACATTGTCGGGAATCTAAAACTTGTAGCGCACCAGTTGCATTGTCTCATTGTGTTTTCGTGTTTATTCCGAGTGAATTATTTCTCTACCTCAAGGTTCGTTCGCCTCGTTAAGAAACAAACAAACAGACTCTCGTACTATTATTATTATTATTATATATAATATAGGCGTATGTATTATTTTAATAACGCTCACGACTCCCCGTCGGAATATCATATAATATACTTACATTTATTATTATACGTGTGTGCATATGATAATAATATGTGTGCGGTATGCGAATGCGATGATTGTTATTACAGTATTACGAGGACAAATTAATAGTAATAATAGTGAAAACAATAAAATTAATACTTAATAAATAAAATAATTGGTCACCAAATGCGATTTATATAATGTATAATATAATGTAGTATTGAGGAGTATGATTTTGGGAGAAGCATTAATGTGTCGTAATATTTGTTTATTAGGAAGTTGTTAGCTTAGGACCTGGATTTCAATTCAAAGTGCATGTAACAAATACAAAGTGGTGATCGTAGAGAAAGCCAATGCTTTCTAAATACATAATTTGTTTCATAAAACAGATATTTCAATGGTGATACTTTAATTTTGCATTTTGTTACATATTTGAATGTTTTTTAAGTCATTTTGTTAGTTTTAATGTATATTTGTACATTATACTACTTACTACTTAAAAATTAACTAGTTAATAATAATACCTAGTGGTAATTTATTGAATTGTTTTTCTTGAGGTTTAGTTTGATAGGATTATCTGTTTTTTCTTTACAAATTACCAATCGTTCTATTATACGTTGCTGCATCAATTGATCAAATTAATTAAACAATTTTTTGAAAAATGTTCAAGTTTCAGAGTCTTAAAAAAAAAAAAACATTCAGTAAACTATTTTAAGTTAACATTAAAATCACAAATTAGGTAAATACCTAATCAAACATTGTATTAAGAAAATAATTTTATACATCACTTATGATTTATGAAGGCTATTTTTTGAAAAAATTTTTGGTGGTTTTTAGATTATTATTATTATTATTATTATTATTATTACCCGTGTTTTTTAGTTGAAAGCAATATACGATATTATACGGAATACATTATACTCGCTATTGAGGGGAAATGGAATTGCATTTCCGTCCGCTATATGGTTTCATGCGCGTTCAACAATATTTCCACAAAAACCACCGACAATCACTTTACTGTACAGAATAACAACCATATAATCCGTACCACGTACCGGATCACGATTTATCACGTCGCAATGCATACACGGTTATACTGCCGCAGTCGGGTGTGGGTTATCGCGGAGAAATAAACTCTGTGGCTCACGTCATATATCTCACATACGATATGTAGGTACTCGGTTATATTATACGTTGTTATACATGTAATAACGTCCGATATGGAGGCGACGATGTCGAAAAGTAATTATTATTATACGTCGCGACGCCGCCGAGCACGTGTAGACGAAAGACGAAACGATACACTACGGAGCGCGTATCCCGGACACAAACGAAGCAGCGAAAACACCAAGAGAGACGGGGAGAGAGAAAAAACCGTAAAGAGATACCCAATTTAAATCGAGTTTTTTTTTTTTGTTTCCAAAGTGAAAATCCGTTGTTTTAATTACGAGAAAATTTTCGAAACGCCTACCCCTCCCGCCGTCGTCCCCGCGTCACACGCCCCCGTCGTCCGGATCGTATATCACACCCGCCGCAATCTCTCTTTGCAGCGTCCGCCGCCGCCGTTTATCGTTTGCGCTCGCGTCCGCGCCGAGGAGGTGTCCGTTTGTCGGGACCGAAATTCCGTTCTTACGAGGTATATTATGTTGACCTACCTATCTCGCGGCTCTGTTGTGTAATAATAATAATAATAATAATATACATAGTAATTAACCCGTCCGACCCGAAAACGAATATAATACGACCATTACACACGCGCGAGATGTGCGCATATTATATTATAGATATGTGCTCGGTTTTCGACAAAATTAAGTTTTTTTTTTTTGGTAGGTTCACTTATATTTTAACGAGGTGTATCCGCATACCGTGTGTGTGGTACAACGCATTATGTTATTATTCCGATTGATATATAATGGGTGTACATAAAAAAAATTATTATAACAATATTATAGCCGATATAGGCGCTAGCTAGGCGTCATCGCGTTCATTCGTATCAATTATAATTTATCATACAATATATAATTTTTCTTTTTCTTTCGGTTTTGAATATAACCTTATACTATTACCTAAAATTTCCACACGTCTAAGAAACTGCCGTCATGATGCTGCGTCTCGTCAGGTTAAAAATGTCGAAACGTCGTTACTTTTGAGCACGTCCGGTGGGTGGTGCGACGTGTATACAATATTATATTATTTTCGTGTATCACACACATATTATTAAACTGTTAAGTACATATTATAGGCCGTATAGAATTGATAATATTGTCCCGTCAAATTATTATAATGAAATAAACCACTGCGGTGACGGCGTTTGAGAAAGGGGCGTTCGAGAGGCGGACGTCCCCGAGCTTTTCATGGCCGTTTTGACTGTTGTTGCTGCCTCCTACTTTTTCACCTCCGAACACGTGTAGGTGACGTTTTTTCAAGGGTGGTGCAGTCAGGTTGTAATTCATCAAATTAACGCCACCGATATCTGATATTATATTAAACTACAGTCTATAGTATAGATACCTACCTACTCAATATGATATGTATATATTATTATTATACTGTGTCATGCCCGAGCACACACAACGGCAAAGATATTATGTTTAATACGATTTGTACTGCACAGTGTTTCAAGTCATGCATAAGTAAAGGGTAAGGTTGTTATAAGTGCGTTTTTCGGAAATTATTACCTTTCTAACGACTACACACTTTTTAATAAATTTATGGTAATTTCGAATTTCACACTAAGCTATAGGAGCCGTATAATATATATCTTTAACTGATATTTCAGGAAAATGGTCCTGCGATAGTATATCATTTTGTGATGTATAATTGCAGTATAACGGCCATATTATAAAAAGCTATTCCGACGTAATCTCTCAAAATGTTTGTTATCATTATTATAATTTTTTTTTATCAAACGCCGGTGCAGTATGTAGTAACTAGAACGTGTTCGATTTGTGTTTACAGGTGGTGTTGTGCGACATTTGGAGGTGCGGCCCTGGCTATGGATTTGGGGTCCGACTGTACAACGATTGCAGTAGTCGAAATGTCAGGGTTGACTACCGGGGACGAGTTCTCGCCGACGACGAGACTTCGAATCCATTTCGTAAGTACATCATATTATACACGTATTTTTCGTATTCACACTTAGCCGTGATCGCGCTCCGTCCATTAAACATATTGTTTATAGCCTAATGAACGGCACTCTCGGGATCGATTGCGACACCGGAACGATAACGATAAAACTATAAAGGTCGACAAGTAATATTATAATAATTTATAAGCGTAGTTGTGCGGCGAAAAAATTAGACGTTTCGTTCACAGGCCGGGGTGTCGTGGAGGTGAAGATAATCGCAGTGGCGAAAACTCCATATTCGTGAGCGTATACTAATATAGTATTTTATATTCATAATATAGGTACTTATGTGCGATAACTGTCGAGTTCACGATTGTGATTGTTCATTCCGAACGGCGAATTCTCCGCCTCCGACCACGGCCTGTTTGATTTGTCGTGCAGTGGCGTGGAACGGGCGGGAGGGAGACGATTATAATTCATAATAGTATTAGATTATACAAGTGGTGCAGGAATGCGCCATAAAATCTCACCGATTTATTTTTTCTCCCGTTGACATCGTTACGATAATATTATTACACACACGTCCTGTTGCGCGCATATAATATGAATAATATTTAATATTTAATAATATAGGTACTCCTCGTGTGTAACGCCTATATAATATTATACCTACTCCCGCATACTTGCAGGTTTCCTCCGAGAGTTGCGTGTCCCTATGGACGATAATATTCATACACGTAAATCACAATAATATGCGTTTATTTCTCGACTGTGATAATGTTTTCAAATCGAACGAAAGTATTATAGAACTGCAGTATAGACCAAACTAAATGCTTAATATAGATTTGCTTACGTGTATAATAGAGACAGCACAAATGTGTGCAGATCGTTAAGTTAATATTATGAGAAAAAATCAAGTTGATAAAAAATTTGACTCAAGCTTGTATAGAAAAAATATTAACTCAATTTAGTTTTTTTTTTTTTAACTAGATTTGAAACCATTCGTTTCAACAATAATTACAGAAAAGCTACATTTCAATATTAAACATTATTAAAATAAAGCAGTATAATAGCCAGCGGTGTGACTAGGAGTTTACAATGGGAGGGGGAAGGTGTTAATTAATAGTGTATTTAAATTTTAAATTAATTGTTGTGGTAATACCAAAGAAAAAACTATGGGGATTTATGGAACAGTTGGGGGGGGGGTAACCCCCACCACCTGGGCGCTTCACTGTTAATAGCTGAACTTGGAAAGTTATACCTTCTTAAATATCGACCCGACGAAGCTATTAGAAAATATCTTAAGCAGACCAGTATTAAAAAAATATCCCAAAATACACAAGATTACTGATCTATATAAATTTTACTTTACGTTCAGACTGTTCAGAGTGGCCTTACATTTATTTATTCATTATTCTTTTTTTCAATAGCAATTATTTTTCTTAAGTATAATATAGTGCTCCGTCAAATTGGCTACACTCCTTTCAAGGATTATAGGGTTTATTTCAATGAAATACAGTAACTTAATACAATATTCGGGTGTACCTACTAAGCGAAAATAGTATGCAGACGCTTACCAAGATTGACTATTGATATATTGATACTTAAAATTAAAAACTAACTGCAGTTTTTAGTATAGGTACCAAAGTAATTTGGAACTAATCCCACTGACCAGTTTAGATTAATCTGATTTAGATAATATTGTTATCATTATAGTCCTTGTCCGTTGTTTTAAATATAATAATATGAATGCATTAATTACATAATATTTGTATTAAAAATGAATACATCAACGTATCAAGTATAGTTCAAATAGCTCAAATAAAACTCGGCAGATATAATTTTAAAATTTCCATACCTAGTAAATTACGCAGTTATAATCAAAACTGAAAGATGTCAACGCCTGTAGTTTTTTTCCATATTGCAATTAGTTAAGAACTTATGCTATTAGACCTGGGATTAAGACACTGTTATTTGTAGGTACCTATACTGCAGTTATCACTTAATAAATTAACTTGTTAAGTTTAAATTTGTATACATTTATGAACTAAGAAAATAAACAATTAGCTAAATTGGATTAATTTAAACTGAACTCAATTCAGTTTTCTTTTTTATCAATTAAATCCCAGCATTTTATACTCAACAAATATATATTTTGCAGTTCTTTTCCTGCACCAATACCTGACCGGACTACGTTATACAAATATCATCAAGTCACACGTGTATGTATACAATTATATAGGCAAATACCCGTACCTTTTATATTTTAATACTTCAGTTTTGACAAAAATACATCTATCGTCTGAATTCGTATAATATAAAATACATATGGGAAATTCTTTCGAGATTTTTCATTCCGCCTCCACTCGTCTCGACAGCAGTATATACCTGCAGCTCTGCATGTATACCTGTGTGTATAGGTATAGTGCCTGTGATGTACTTGTGAAGGTACCGCCACAGTTAGTCATGGGCCTATATATATACCACGACGAGCGTATACACTTTACATAATATTATTATCACAGTGTACGAGCATAGAGCACACGAAATTCGGTTTTATATTTCATTTTCGTCTTTTCCCCGTCGCTCATCGTCGGGCGCGTGCAGTGCGCGGCCCTCCACCGCCCCTCAAGCCGAAGCCGGTACGTCATATTTATACCTCATAGTATTATACACTCGACGCATACATCATGCACGCATATTATTATATTAAATAGTATATACGATAATAGTATAAAATATAATATATACGCGTATGCATCATGTATGTATAATATCATTATGCGCGAGGCTAGATAATATAATATAATTTTATAATATACGCGAGGCGGTGTGCGCCGACTCATCTCCTCGTCGGTGTATATCATACCCACCTATTCGTTTCGGGAAACGAAAAATGGACATTTAAACGAACGGCGGCGGCGTCCTAGTCGTAGTCATAGCCGTTGTCGTCGTCGTCGTCGTCGTCCGATCCGAACTCACACGCACACACACACTACGTGTGTAACTGTATAATATATAATAATATATTGGTACTATATGCTGCAGTATAATATAGTAAACGAATAATGTATAATATCGTATGAGAATAACCCTCGCACACACGAATATTATAGTTTATGTTCTTTGAATATTAATGGATTCCGCCGCCGCCAAACACGAGTAATATCAGTTTTGTGTTTTCGAATCGACACGGATCGTTATAATAATAATATTACTATCGGTGTTTCTGGCGTCGGTGGTACGACGACGTCGCATGTATATGTAGGTAGTGCCCACCGTTTCGAAAGTACCTTATATTATATTATAATATTATTATTATGTATGTGTAGGGTACCTACGACGTTTACACTGGCGCGCACGCACTTATTTGATATGTCGATAACGTAGTTTTTTCGTCGACCGAGAACAATGACAGACGCGATAAACATTTAAGTATATCGTATAGTATACCGCTTCATATACGTGGTATACGGTGTAATAATATAGCTAACCGCAAGCGCGTGTGCCGCCGCTGTGCAACAGGTAGCGCGGAGGGTAACGAACTCTCGCGCTTCTCGACGTGTGCAGTTAAAATATTTTTGAGATTTCGTATAAAATACGTGACATCAGGTTAATAGACGGGTATAAGGCAAAAGGTTGTCCTGTCGGCGATGTCCGAAAGTCTCAAAAACCCTGCAAATAGGTACCAAGAGGGGTTAAAACGAGGACTCGACCCGTGGATACTCTGAACTGAATCCTATATAGTCGCGGCTTATTATACGAGAGTAAATGTTGCAATATTTAAGCTTCGTGAAGGTTTTCTCCGTGCATGTTTGTGTTCATCATCGCTCTTTTCAAATTGATATTTTTAAAAAAAATATGATTTTCAACGTTTTGGTAATGACCAAATGGCCGGAATGCGGGGAGAGGGAGGGATCCGATACTGCTTAGCACGAATGATCGCTATCTTCTCATTAATTTGGCTGGTGGCAGATTAAGGAAGGAGAGTATTTTTTAGCCTTTAGGCCGCCGAAATATTTCAGAACGATCGGCTAAAATGTCCAAATCGCCCTAAGGAGGCCGTTAATTTAAATCTTCAAAATATCAGTCACTTGATTTTCGGGTATACATCCCGAAATGCCAAATGTTTGGTGAAAAAAAAATGCCAACATAACAACCTAACATTTAGTAGAATACATTACGATCATGTCACAATATTATTAATCACGACGATGGCACGGAGTGACATCCGAATGTCCGATCAACGTGTTTCTGCAAAGTGCAATGTCGGTAAGACAATGTTTCGTACATCTCGAGATACTCTTAAAAATGGTTTAGCTGTAGTGATTTTATACTTTGATAGAACTATAATATTATGTACCTGATATATTATAGAGACAGTGCAGTGATAGGAAAGTTCCTTTTAAAAAAGATCTAGTTTGCTTCCCGTTCACTTCTTAACATAAGAACTCGTTCCAGATTATACTGTTCCTTATTCAAAGAAGGAACTCGCTCTTCAAATCCAGTTCCTCTAAAAAAATAACTTGTTCCAATTTTCGTTACTTATTTAACCTAGTTATTTAAAAAAAAAAGCTTTAGAATAATACTTTTGAAATTTGTAATGTTAGATAATAAAAACGGTTAGTGAATTAAACGTAACTTGATAACGCGTAGAAACAAAGAAAACTATATTATACAATATTTAAAATATGTTTTTAATACTTAAAGGGAGCTGTGATTTTGTTCACGTTCTTCAAAAAAAAAAATTATTTATGTTCTTCTTCCTTTATTTTTAAAGGAAGCAGTTCCAAGCTTTGTTACTACAAAAAGAACTCGTTCCTGGGTTCCGTTCTTTTTGGAACGAGTTCCTATTCTCAACACTAATTATTGGTGATTCGGCGAGATGCGCAGCAGAGTTGGTTAATTCGTCGTACCTAGGAACGGGTGGATTTGTTTTTTAATGGAAAATCGTTGTAAAGTTTTTTGTTTAAAGCGTGTTTGTCCTCTTCGCTTCCTACTCTTCTCCAAAACCACCGCAGCGGGATGATAAACACACAAGACCCAAAACGTTATATTTCCTGTGATGTATATACCGAGTGATGATGTGATGCTTGTGTGTTTGTTTTATTTATTTATTATTATTATTATTATTATTATTATTATTATTTAAATCAGTTAATACGAAACGCTCTCCTGTACATTCCACGGCCGATCGTGACTTGAAATTTGAAGTACTGGTTTTCTATTATGCGTATGACAAAATTATTATATAATACGAAATGAAGCGGCGGCGAACGATGGTCGTGGTTACGTACGGCGTGTGTGTTGTGGCGCTTACTTACGTATTGCGTGTGTAACAATACCGAAAAGAGGAGCCTAACCGAAACGCCGAAACGCTATACCTCAACAATATAATGATTATAAAAGTAATAGTACTATATTATTGTATCACAATAAATTAACAATTAATGCGCTTTTTACCGTACACCGCGGTGATGCATAATATATTATTACTAACGGTAAGGTTACTTATATATCGAATGGAGCGTTTTAGGTATTGAACTATCGTCCCGGACGCGTACCTACCTATAACTATATATGTTATATACGTACCTAAATTTTAAATAAGCCGCCGCAGCCCAGAGCAAGCTAACAACTCACTAACACATTAATTTAGGTAGTGTGGTCGATGATTGATCACCGATTTGTTCGTGTATTTATCCGATTTTAACTTCTAACACACTCACAACACGCACACAAAACAACTCGTCGATATATTATTATTATGATTTTTACGACACGGACCCTATTTTATGAATTCAACCTTATTGTTTCAGATAACACATTACACATGTATAAACGTTACGCGGTTACCGGTGAACTATTAAAACCACCGACCCCTACATACAGAATTTCTATAGATTATGATAATGTGTCGTACAATAAAATTAATTAATTAACACGTTGTCAGCGCCCTGTCAGGAACTCGGTAGGACTATAAAAGTAGGGCTCCAAAAACGGTGTATTATAACTATGCGTCTATGCGTTTGAAAACTTTTGTTAATTTGCGTGTGGCATGTGTTACCATTAATCAATAACAGTCAACGAAAATTATGAAACATCGTAACGATAAATGAAAATTTAAAAACGATCATCGTCAAAAGTTGCATCACATTTTTTTTTAACGTGAAATTATATTTTGCTATAAATATGTCCATATTAAGCGAGATTAAAAAGAAAAAACCTATTGCGTTTTCATAATAAAAGCATGAAATCTCTAAAATTAAAATTAACGATGCACAAACATATTACGGAAAATATAATTTTTTATTTTGACTTCAAACGAAATGTTTTTCATTTTTCAACGAATAAATCGTAGTTATTTACATAATATCACCAATGAAGTCTCACACTCTGCCGATGGGCGATGATGTGCATAAAATATATAATATTTGTCCTGTACAAAACTGTGTCTTATCATGCCGTGAGCATCATATGTACATATACTCATAACGCATTATTTTAATTATAGTTTTTATTTTTTTTTTCACAGAAAACTTGACCGTCAAATCCATGGACTTCAGTATTCGACTGTCGATATTCGCTGAGGAGTCGCATCGGTATTTGTGTTTCAACAACAAATGGTCCCTTGTTGGTTCGGTAAGTGATGTCTATATTAAATTATATATTTTAAATTAGTACATGGCAGTATATAGAGTCAACAACTACACACACGATTATTACATGTAGTTTTTTTTATATATGTATTATATTAAATAATATATTTAAGAATATCGAATAACAAGGTCCTCAACAGCAGTCGGTCGCGCGCATCTCACCCTTCATACAACGAATTCCTTTTTTTTTTTTTACGATATACAATAAACCGATATGACTGCTGCGTATCTCCTGCACATTGTTTCAACGTACATTAAAAGATGAATTTCACAATCTAGCACACTCGAATATTATTTTTTATCGTCTGCGTGCGTTGAGTAAATACACGAAAAGAATGTTCGAGAAAAAACATATTTTTCTCTCAGCCGTCTTAAATAAATGTCGACACTGTTACTTTACAATATTATATTATACGTAGGTAGGTACCTATAGTAATTATTATTATTATATGCCTACCTACCTTTGTAAAATAATATAATATTTATATACATTACACAAGCCGCATAGAAAAATATAATGATTAGTCACAATCTTTTCAACCACTTATTACTTATTATATAATACACGAAATTGTTCCCGTCTACAAACAATATATAATATGCCCGTATACAAATTAAGAACAATTAAATATTTGTATTGTGTAATTACGTTTATATTGCCATGGATAGGTAGATTTATATATTTGATACGTGATGTACATTGTACATAATATAGCTTTTAACAAGTCGTATGCAGATTCGTTTTTTGTTAATCTGATAACATATGCAGAAAACGAATAAATCCAATAATTTAAATTAATGAAATTTGTATTGCTTAGTTCAGCGGGAATAACAGAAGGTTACATATACGTTTATGCATAATACTATACTTTCTTTAGTAGGTGCCTATACAAAATATTGAGAATGTTTAATTACTTACATTTTAACTAATGTGCCTAATATTTTATTTGAAGATATTATTTCAATTATAATTGTTATTAAATAGATTACAAACTATACAAAGATTGTTATAAAAAAAAATACTACCGACCTACTAAATCATTATTTTTATATAAAAATATTTTATATTTGTCTTCTGCGATCGCATCAGTAGAGCTTGCACTGAGGTCTCCAATATAATATATTATATTATAATTATGGAGGAGGACTGTCAGTGTGAACGTAACGAGCTATTGGTTTTTAATATTCAATATTTCAAACCAATAAAGATTGACGATAATAATGATACTTACGTGACATAGTATATTTTAATTTTATAAATTATATTTATGTGGCTGATGTACCTATTGTTATTTTAGGGGATCCGAGACATTCAACCTAAATATGATGTTGATCTGTCATTATTTATTTGAATTTAGCGCCTAATTTATTATATCATAATATATGGTCGCAAACTCAAATCACTTACGAGGAGGGAATCATTTATTTATTTGAATCTAAGACTTGGCTTGAAAAACTTTGATAACTTGTGTATACTTGCAATCTCCGACGCATAGAACTGTGTACCTATTATAGATAGAAGACACATAATTATCACGCATATCAGACACTATAATATATGTCCGTTTACTAAATCGCGTCCAACTGGTTTACGACATTTTGTTTTTCGTTTCAGAAACATTTCCGAGGCCCCAAGTGTCTGTTCTACGAGGAGATGCTGTCCACTGGGTATACACGGTACAAGTCGGTGGTCGACAAGTCGCGGTACATAGGTTTCAACCGGCGGGGCCGTCCAATGAGGCGGCACGTGTTCCACACGGACCCGCTGAACCGGTGCCTCAACTTCCTCAAGCTGGACACCAAGTTTGACATCGGCGACCACAATCGCAAGGTGGCCGCTTCGTCGGGCAAGACCATTGTCGTCGGCGGCAGCGGAGGAAAGCGCAACGGTGCGTCCAAGAGACCAAAAGCGGCGGCCGGTGGCGGTTACAACAGAAAATCGCCTACGACCACAACGACCACCACCACGACGACGACGACCACCACGACCACCACCACCACCACAACGACCACTACACCACCACCACCACCACCACCTCCACCATCACCGTCAACACATCCTTCTTCTAAACCACCAGTCAAACACAGTCGAATTCGGTTCAGGCACAACCGGCGCAACAGACACCGTCCTGAAGCCCTTCAATCGTTAGATCAAGACTAGAATAGTATTATATTATTACTATTATTATTATTATTATTATTATGATTATTTCTATTATTATTAATATTATATATTATCATCATCATCATCGTTATACTATTCTCGAAACCAGACTAGTAAGAAACTAAACAGTTATTATTAATATCATATTATGACTCCGTTAGGAAATAGTATACAACATTGTTTTAAATTTAAAACGGAACGAAATCCCAGATAAACACATAGTTCGTAGTTTTTTTTTTATCTATGAACACTCGACGATATCACCTGCGATTTATAGGTGGTTAATACAATATTATAGGTTATCGATCGGTTTGAGGGATTTTCACGTTCACTTGAAACCGTCAGGGAGTATTTATTTTTTTTTAAATATTTTTTACCATTATTTATTTTTTGAGTTTAATTGCAATGTTTAAACGTTTCTTTATTGTTTGATTTTTAAACGTATCGCGTCTAACTGCGTTGTTGCAGTCTACAGCTCCACGTGCTTGTTATAATAATCGCATTCATAACCCGGACAGAGGTAAAAAATCGGTACACACTCGTGGCGACTGCGGATTTTCCCGTTGCGTTTTCCGAAGACTGTGTATTATTATACAGCCCTATATAGCTACCATTACCGTACCGTATGTACTCGGGCCACTCTAAGAGCGCTTATGGACGGCCACCAAAATTCGTCCGTTCTCGCGCATTATCTACGCTACTAGGTGGTAGAGTGGGAGAAATTTGGGTACGAAAAGCTCGGTAATTTGGATGCGCAAATGAGAAGCGCTCTTAGAGTGGCCCGAGTATGGTATCTACACCACACGATTTAGCCAAACGGTCCAGCGTTTGTGTGGGACCGATGTACAATAGTTTTATATTCGTACGAATATTCGGATGATCACACATGCTATTTACTATACCATCGCTCCTCGAGCACGTCTGACACTCCGTTGGGCATGACACCGATTTGCATTATTTTTTTTATAATTATTATTATTATTATTACTGTAGGAATTAATATTTATTACCACCCGAAGTGTGTGTTGTATTGTAAGCTGTTATTTTTAAACCCTCCCTTCTCGCGACGATTGGCTCCTGGTACTTGATAAGATGGTGGCGAATATTCCTCGCGTGTTTTTATAATTTTGTAACTATAAGCGGACGCCGTCATGTACCATTTTGTAGCCATTGGGGCAGAATACATAATTAAATTTAAAGAGTCCAACGCTATTATTTGAACTGTCACGAAGAACATGTTTAGTAATATTGTTGAGTATAATAAATCTAGTCAATATTTTCTTTTCATAATAAGCACTTCTAATCCACAAAATCAAAATTTAAAATTTAAACATTAATTATACAATGACGCAATATTGTGTAGAATTTCAAGCATTAAAAATAAAACACGTAGTGACTATCGTGATACTAAAATATTGAACTAGTGCTAGGAAATATATTATATTGTTTTGCATACTTAGATTCTATAGGTGCCTTTATTAAAATGAGCAAAACGTACTCAATGCCGAAAAGTATTAATATTTCTAATTTCTAAAAAAAAAAAAATCATTTACTATTAAAAAGGCTATGGGGAGAAAATAAAATATTTATAGCTCTTAATTCAATTTTGTTATTACTTAAAATAAAAATGGTTAATTTTCCATAATTTTTTATGAGAGTCCATGTGGGATTATAAGTACACGCATAGTGATATTAAATTTAAAAAAAAACAGAGTTTATAATGTTTACACAACATTATTTTTCGGCGTGGAAATTACCTATATATTTTATAGATAACGTTTAAACTTCACCAAATGCATGTACCTATATATAGTGTAGTTAACGCTCTGCGTATAGTTTAGGTTATAAGTTTTTTTGTTCCGTAATGTCTCGTTTTGACCAAACCACTGGTTTCCGAACATAAGTATAATAAATAATGTGTCGATGTGTAATAGCAACAATAATAATGATGATAATTGTTCTGGAAAAATGAGAATAATATAAGATGATGATACTAAATACATAATATCAGTGTTATACAGTGCAAATCGTTTATAATGATGTCAGAGGGACCATTAGTAAATATAAGTCATAACAAACCGTCATACAACCGGATGGTATAGTATGCATAGGAGTTTTGCTCAGAGTCTCGTACACTCCATTACATTAGTTCACACGGGACCCGACAATATTATGACAGTATTATACAACCACGGTGTCTTTATAAACGATTTCTACTGTACGATATATACCCATACAGTATACATTTCATCAGCATAATATACAAATAATAATTAAAACAAACCTGAATTAGGAGAACCGACCGCGTTCGGATGATATATTGTTTAACGTAAGTATAAAAAAAAAAATATCGAATAACTATCGATAAATCTCTATGAGATGAACGTTTTGATTTTTATTGTTTTTTTTTTGTCTCTCTCTCTCTTGTAAATATTGTCTATAAATAATCACTATGTACATACACGGAACTGTACCATTTTAGTTGCCTCCCCTCCCCGCCCCCAAATTTCCTTACAACCCCTTTTATTTATTTATTTATTTTATAATTTTTTTTTCTTTTACATATACATTTAATATTATATGTGACACCACCCCTAATACACAAAAGAATTGTATGCTTTTATGTTCTGACTTCGTCGTCAGTGAACACCGTATTACAGGTGCCTACTACCTACCACAATATTATTTTTAAAAAGTGTGTGACGGTAATATGTCTTTTTCCAAAATATTTAGCAGTATTAAAAATAACATTGTATATAATTTAACTGTATTTAGATGAGCGTGTTGGCTGTGTGCGTCATAATCGTGTACAAAGCCACACGTGCATATTTTGTAATGTTCTAAAACGCTTGTCGCGTTAACAGGTGCCATATTATAATATAATATAATATATACTATATATTATATATATATTTATAAAAACCCACGTAATTATGTATTTTTATTTTCATAACCTCCTCCCCTCTCCCGACACCCTCAAATTTATTTTTATTTGATTTGTAAATGTATAATATATGCATATATATTATATGTATACATACACACTAATTCTTAACATCATTATTGTTACGATTATTATTATTATGTTTTTTTTTTTTTTTAATTCACGTGTACAATGTGTTGTACAAATGTACAATACAAGCGATTTATATTAATTTTTTTTTTTTTTTCCAATTGGAACTCTATTATTTACCTATCCCCCACCAGGCACATCATACTATATGGTAACAACCGTCGTCGTGTTATTTTTATTATTATAAAAACGAAACATTATTATAATTATTATTATTAGGTACCTGAGCAGATCGCCGCTCGCTAACATGTATTTTTTTTTTTCGAAAAAAAAAAACTTCGCGCCGGCTAATCGATCATTGTACGCTTATTGCACGTCCCAACTATTGTCCCGTCACTTTCCTCGTATACCATATTATATTTTAATAATATGTATACCCGCACTAGTATAGGTAGCCGGTCGTGTGATCAACATGTATATTTGTGTATGTGTTTGTGCGCATGTGAGAGAGTGGCTGTGTGTGTGTTTGTATGTATGCGAGTTTGTTGTTTTGCCAAAATGCGATGCGATTTAATAATAATGTACTACTACTACTACTACTACTATTACTACTACTATACTACTACTACTTTTAGTAATCAAAAAAAAAAAACCTAATGTATTAAGCTTTGTAATAATAAACAAAATATGTCATAACCATTATTTTCAACAATAAAAACAAATCACTTAAGAAAAATGCATACTCAATAAAATAACAATCTATACATAAAATGATTATATACGGTGTATACATGGGTACGTAATAATATTATAATGGTAGTGATGATGTATCACCGTGGGCTACTTCATCGACTACTATTAATATACACGAATTTCGAGTGTTAAATACATATTTTACAATAATATATGATAATGTATACCGCTCGAAACGACTGTACAATATAATAATAATAATAAAAATAATAATAATAATAATACCTACAGCACCTACGTATATAATACGATATTGTGCACGTGAGTTTTACCTACCAATATTATTGGCTGGTGTACACCACTCGTATCTGGTCGCTCTACTGCTGAAAACAAACATTATTATTGTTATTAATTACATTGACGAACTGCGTGTCCGTCGTCTAATAATATGTGCGCAGTACGCAGTGCTTCATTGTTTGGTAATGTCTCGTTCTCAAATATTTGGTATATTATTTTGGTATTTTTAAATCCGTCTATACCGAGGTAAATCATCGGTATTGTTTTGTGTGAGCATGTGTACAGCAATATTAATATGTAATGATATGTTCATGTACCTATGTACATATATTATATTATAATATAGTGGCTGTAATAATAATGATAATTTCAATGCAACAAATAATATTATATACCGAAAGCGTTTTTTGAAAAAACGCTCTTGATTTATCCTTCCAATTTAAACTTACACGCAATTGTGAAGCACGAGTATAATAAATGGCATAAGGTATGATATAAAATATAGACTTCAACAGTCCTAATAAAATAATAATCGTAACGATCATCTCACCCACACTGTAATAAAAAATTAACAATTAAAGGGGGTTACAAGGAAAAGCGATAATAGTAAAAAAAATTAGTATACAATTGTATCAGCTTGCCGTTTGTTTCCGAACTAATTTATATAATGTGAATCGAGTTGGGAAATAAAGATCACGGTCAGTGATATAATACAGGTTTAAATTATATTCCTATGATGGTGTATTTAAATTTACCTCTATTACTATAAAACTGTAATATTGAACATTTTAGGAATATAAAATATAATAAAATAAAATAATGATTTATATAATATAATAATATGATAAAAAGTAAATATATATTGTAATATAGTACATTTTTTTGACTGTTATCATTTATCCCCGTAGCCCTTCAATTGTTATCACCGAGAAGATTCGGAACAGCAGATTTATTTGTTCGGAATTTAAGCTTAACAAGTTTTCGCAATAAATTTTAACATTTAACAAATTTTGGGATGATTTTCGATCCGACGAGAATCGTTCTTTGAATTAGATTTTAAATACTAAAATCAATTTTGGAAACATCACTATTGATTGTTCAGTTATAACTAAACATGGATTTCAATTCTCATTAAACTTTCTAAGTGCCAATGTTCTAAAGAGACACTTGAAAAAAAGTTGAGGTCCTTTTGTAAAGAAGACTGTGACTGTGACTATATTGTTATACAGTTTATCATATCCGATAATATTAATATATCGAGTTTTTATTATAATCCATCACATACATTATAATAAACAATAGGCATTTTATTATAAAACTTACTGCAGGTAAGCAATTGGATTAGAGTGAATATTTATTTGGACAGTATCTGCTTGAACTGAAGATTGTTTTTGAAAGGTAAGTATTAATTATCTTACTATTAATAAACCATTATAATGGACGAAACTCAATTCCATATTTTGTGAGACACAATAAAACATTAATTGGAAAAAAATTAATGTTCGTTTATAAATTATAATTTAAGGTTGATAAAAAAAATTAATCAGTTTAATGCTCACAAATTAAATTAAATTAATTTGTTGTAGTAAATTATTTTGTAGTTTAAATTAAATCGTTTTATTCCATTCGCTTATAATTTTATAATTTGCAATCAATTCTTAGGCTGACACTTCCTAGAAATGTTTGTATGCGCTATTATAGATATTGCCGATATTGGTACTATTAAAATGGTGAGCATAAATACTATTATAGGTTAGGTACCGGCATTTAAAATCTTTTTAGGAAAACAGAATAATTGCGTTTCTAAATTATGAGTATAAATTAGTTAATAAACGTACAAAAACTTGTAGAATTCACATGGGTATCGTGTTTAATGGCATCAGTGAACACTAATAAATTACATTAACAATTTTTTTTTTTGTTTTTCTACCCTCCTAATAATAAGTGTCAGTATTAAAATTTTAACAGTGTTTATGGAGATTAACTCGTTTGCGAATAATTTAGTTTGTTAATATGAAATATCTACCGGTGTCTGGTTATATGTGGAATTTTGTAAATGACACACAATTAACCACTTAGTAGTTGAAGAAGAAAAAAGTTACTTGCATAAAACCTGCAAAGTATGTAAATAGGTCTTGCTAAAAGTTGGTATGCATGTTTTTACTGAAGCGTTATTAAAATTTAAAAATCAATAAATTGTATAGATGTCAAATATAATTATTCTAATAGCCATTAAATTTAATTTTTATTGAACTACTCACTGATTTTAATTTGAAAAAAGACAATCACAACGGTAAATCTAATGAATATCCGTAATTAAATATAGTCCAAATCGAAAAAAAAAATAGATATACAGGTTATATAATTTCATTTGCATTGTTTTAACACACCAGCATCTTTTTTTATGGGTCATGTGGGCCATTTAATTTAGCAATAACTTTGAAAAAATAATTTTAACCGTAATGAACATTGTTTTTTATTTATCTAACGATCAAAGTTATCGCCCTATCGCCCCACCTAAATCTTACTAAAATGAATGGCACGTGCATAAATGATATTATATAAGGTGTCATATAATATAAAACAATTAATAAATACAATATAAAATTATAGTACATATTAAAATGTCATCATATTAAATTATTTTTAAGAAGTATTAAAGTATTATTATAGGTACACCCGTATACCCGATTAGTTGTCACTAGTATAGTCACTTGGCAGTTGGTTATCAACATTTTTATTCGGTATAATTTATTGCTTAAGGCCACTGAGGCCAGCATTTAAATAAAATATACTATTCGGACTTCTTTCATCATATTAATACTAATTATACTATCTATTCGAGAAGTACCTACGCCTTGGTGAGTTTCCGTGTCAAAAACGACGAGAGATATTCATGTACCAACGATTACAATTGGTATTTAGAAGATAGGTGCAATTAATTACACTAAATATGTGCAAAGCGTATTCGATTCACGTGTACGACCATCCGTCTTTAAGTGCTACAATAGGTCACTCTTTAGGTCCCACTTGATTTATTTCGACGGCGGTACAATCGATTGATTTTCTAACCGCAAAGTCTGTTCATGAAATCGTAATACATAATATATTTTATACGTGTGACACATCAACGGCCGAAAAGAAGACGCTCGGAATTCGATTGGCATCGAGGATATTTATAATAGATTTACATCGGGCGCTCTGGAGATCTCTTGAAACTCTTTAAATATCTAAAAATTTGGAATTCCGTAAGTGTGTACTGTGCGTAGTGAGAAATTGAAGCATTTATACAAGGCACACGGCCGATGGAGATTTGTTGGCAAAGAGTCTGAATGAATTTCACCAACCTTACCAGATTAGTTGTAACCACGTGTCCGTTCCAGGTTTTGTGCAGATGTTCACGGATAAGAACATACAATACCATTATAAAAGGTGGGTGGAAGATAAAGCAATTGTGAATAGTTTTCAAGTGGCGTGTGGAGTTTGACGGTGGCCTGACGATGCACCTGTCGTGCTCTATAATAATTGAGAAATTAACGAAAATTGAATTATTCCTAATGGATACCTCTTCATATAAATCGTTTAGCAACTGTTTAAACGATCTTCAAATTATATTAATATGATTTTTGGGGGTCTGTGTGAGGAGGGTCGACTGTCAGCTGCGATGTTGGACAAATAGCTTTCCCCGATTTTCGAACCCGTCGAATTGACCCTGTCTCGTAATATCGTGGTGCACTAAATTGTGTAATTTATTTTTAATCACTAGTTTTCGTTTGAAAAAAAAACAATGAGTACCTAGTAGTAATAACGATCAGAAAAAAATACTCGAAAGAGACTAATATTAGACGAGACATGTGAAAACGATTTCGGGAGAGATTTATTTTTTTAAACTGGTAATTGAATTGTAAAAAATAAAAATAGTGACTCAGCTCGAAGGATAAGTTTTTATCGTTTTGTAATTTTGTGCGCATAAATGAATTGTCACTATTGTTGTTAGTAATGAATATCTAAAATAAAACAATAAAAGTATAAACACAAACAGATGTGTCCATATTATTTTATATTAATTAAAAATCAAATACTTGCTTTTATCTATATAGATTATAAGAAAAAGGTGTTTCAAAATAAGCGTCACAAATATTTTTTACATTTATTTATCAGTGCGTCGTATTTTTAAATTTTAAATTATAATTGTGCATTTTCA